GGACTGAAGTCAAGTCATTACAATGATGTATTTCCGGTTGCTTCAATAATGTATATGCATCCAGCTTCTTAGTCAATAATCTTCTCTTTTATTTCAGTAGCCTCAAGTCCAGCCAGTTGATGGATTGCAAAAGAAGCATCAATACACATTTATGTAGTTATCTACCTTCTAAGTGCCAATATTTGATGTGGTAAATGTGTTTTATATATGCAGTTTTTAGATTCGTGCATTTTAACCAGCTGTTGCTAAAAAAAATCACCTTTATAAGGAGCTGCATATTCTGAGTAAACAGAAGTGATGGAGAAGGTCAAACAGAACAGGGTTAGGAAAGTATCAGGAGGTAGCCGTGTCAGTCTGTATCCACAAAAACAATAAGGAGTCTGGTGGCACCTTCCATGCATCTGAAGAAGTGAGGTTTTTTACCCACAAAAGCTTATGCCCAAATAAATCTGTTAGTCTTTAAGGTGCCACTGGACTCCTTGTTGTTTTTTAGGGTTAGGAAAGACAAAGATCATGTAAGTTTAAATTGGAAAGTAAACAGAATGTGACAGGGTCATTTATCCAGTTAAGTGAAGACTGTGTTTCCCTCTTCAGTGACCTGGGCAGGTTTGGGGAAAGGCAGATTTGCATGACAAAGGGGGTGTTGAATCTCCTGCATCTCCCTTGTTTTGTTTGATTTTTGTTTAAGGATTCTTGAGAGTGGAAATATTGAAGGAAACGGGAGCTCAATTCTTTATGCGCTGCCAAGGCCCCAGGGATTTTCCTACTTGATGTAATAGTCTAGCCAGCCCTGAGAATCTGTTTATGGGGGTTCATATGTACAGGATATTAAGTCTGAACAATTCTTTTTCCCTTTTACTTTCTCTAAATTGCTGCAATATTCTGTCTTTCTAACTTCTCACAGTAGGGCGAAGAACCATCTCTTCCCCCAACCCTTCTTTTTTCTTTTTCCTATTTAAAATATCTATTTTACATTACGTGAAAATTGCAGAGAAATTACTTCTCTTTGTTTTGATTTAAAAAAATTCTGGGATGCCTGAAGCAGTTATCTTCCCCTGACAAGCACTACCATTCATATCTGACCAATCCAGCTAGAGGTAATTTAAAGAATCTCAAGTTTAGCAATCAACAGCTAAGAAACTGAGAAAACAAGGATACTATGGTTGTTTAAAAGATTAGAAACAGTAGTATACAGTCCATTTCAGAGTTCACTTCCACTTGGAGAGACAGTAAGAGAAGTATTGGCTCAGAAGGTAGAAGATTTATTTTGAGACTATGGTAAAAATTGTGAGGAATAGTAAAGATCCATAGTTTATTATAGCTTTGCTTGATCCTGTATTTTAAGGTGTGGTTCTACTCTGTGAATATGGCATCATGGGACTTATCTCATTGACTTGCACCACACATGTGCTTGTCTTCAGGGGGTCAAGTAGGAAAAACAAAGAATAGTTGTACTCTTCCAAGCTCTGCTCGGCAAATAAGCTCCACCCACTTGAGATGAGAAAATGAGATGGTGTTTTCAAAAGACTGTGCAGATGCTGAAAACTGGATCACATGCTCTACTGGGCTTTTGGGGCTTGGCTCTCCATCAGTGGGGTTCAATGCATTGCTGGGCTTCTTGGGGTTAGCTCCTCCTTGATGGGAGGAAAAAAACAAGTGTTGCTGTCTCAGCTGTGGAAACCATGTTGACATATCAATTATCATTATTACTATCTGAGTTACCTCCCATTGAGATGAAAGAGGAAGCTCACATTTCACAGCTGTCATTTCAGGTTGTCTGAGAACTTACTTGGATGTCTTGGCTTCTGTTATATTTGATTCATGTTTTCAAAGTTTTCTTTGAAATCATAAGAACTAGAGACTTTTTTTTTAAGTAAGGTTGAAATTAGACCCTCAGTTATACATGTGGAATCTTATTTTTCTTCCGTGGGTTTGTTCGGTTGGAACTCATTGGGACTTAGTTTATGATGACCAAGAAGAACAAGAATCCAATTTCCTTGATCCCAGCTGTGTTGACCTTTCAGTGATAAATGGAGTAAAAAAAGCACTAAAAAGAAACTGCTGTTAAAGTAAGCTGTATACACAACAGAAACACATCTGTTGTAAGAAGATACCATTTTTATAAATCCGATTTCAAAGTATAAACACTTTAAATTAAATTTGTCTGAGTCACCTGATACTGGATTAGAATTGAAGTACATTCTTCACTGACTGATATCATTAAACATATCTGACTGCTTTAGATATATTTTCCACTGGACAATGTTTTTATATTGTCAAATGTATAAAAATGTTTGATAGGATACCGCACACATAGGTATTTATTTATGATTCTGATAATCTACTTACTTTTCCTTAGGAAACAGGGATGTTTCATCAGGATTAATTATGTCTTCACAGTAAACTGTATAGTTAAATCACTCAAATGCATAGACATCTTTACAACTCATAACTACATTAAAATGTTTAGAGCTGCGTATTGAAAATGCACATAATGGGCTCTGCTCTTATCTACTGTCTCAACTGCTTCCCTTTTCCAAAGCTATTACAAGAACTATACGTGTGAAAATGCATAGAATAGGAAGGTATTATCTTCAAGAACTCTGCACAAAGGCAATTCTGTGTCTGACAAAGGGACCAGCTACCTCACAAAGGAATAAATAGCGTTGAATCTAAAGCCAAAGATGAACATGTGCCTCAAGCAGTAGATCAACTATTGAAGGAAATAGCCCTGAGTGCTTAGTCATAAGATTTGTGAGCCTGAGAAAGAGAAGAAAAATGAGACAAGGAAAATTGTTGCCTAGATGTTCAACCTGATACCTCCTCTATGCCCTCTTTCTGTGAAGAGACATATAGCAGAAGAGAAATTCACCTAAGGTGCTGTCAGTTATCTAACTCCTATCCATATTTAATTTGTAAGTGAAGGAAAGTTGACCAAATGGATAACAGTGACCATGGTTCAGAACAAGGGTTACTCCTGAGGGCATTCTGCGCCAAAAAATAAAAATTCTGTGCGTAATATTTTAAAATTCTGCAAATTTTATTTGTCAAATAAATGTGGAGGCTCCAACATGGCATTGGGGAGCACAGGCCACTGGCTGCATAGAGGTGGGAGATCACTATGGAGCTCCTCTCCCTTCCCTCCCCCCCAAGACGTGGACTCAACGGTGAGGCTGCACCCAAGCCTGACACAGCGCAAGGACCAGGCCTGTTCCAGAAACACCCCAGGACACTGTCCCTCTATGTGGGCTGGCAGGCTCAGCAAGGCAGGATCCAAGTGTGGAGGGCTTTAGTGGGGGGAATGCAGGTGTGGGTTGAAAGGGTTCTGTGTGGGGCAGTCTAGGTGTGGGCAGATCAGTAGTGGATTTGAGTGCAGGGGGGATCTGGATGCACAGGGGATTGTTGGGGGGCTGTGGGTGCAACTGTAATCGGACTCTGCAGAGGTGTCCAGGTGATTGTGGTTGGGTCTTGGTGTTGGGGGGGATAGAGCTCAGCAGAGGGGTCTGGGTGTTGGGGGCTCAGTGGGGGAGGTCTAGATTCTGAGGGAGTGGGGGATCCAGGTGCAGTTGCTTGGGGCTTGGTAGGGTGAGGATCTAGGTGTGGGTGACTCATCGGAGTAGTCTAGGTGCAGGGGAGGTGGGGCTCATGGAGGGGGGGGGTTCTGAGTGTGGGGGTGGGGAGGCTCGGCAGGAGGGTCTGGGTATGAGGGGGTTTGGATGCACAGGGGTTGGGCAGCTTGGGAAGCAGCTCCCTGTACCAGGATCCCTCTCCCTGCAGCTGAGGAGTGTTGCATGCAGGAAGTAGGGTAGGGTGGGGGAGTTTGCAGAGCTTCCTGCTACCAGGGGAGAAATCTGGGGGTGCTGTGCTGGGGAAGAGGAAGTCCCGTCCTCCCAAGCCCAGCCGGAACCAGCAGCTGAGCCTGGCACAGGGTAGGGGCCATCAGCTGGGTCTTCCCCAGTCCCGCCTCCTGCCGCACAGTGATTTCTCTCTCCGCCGGCTTCCCTGGGCACCCAGAACATACTGCTGGGGAGAGTCGCATGACAACTCTTGTGATTTCCCTTTGCTTCCCAGTCAGAAAGTCATTTTTTCTGCGGGGAAGCAAAAAAATCGGTAGGGGGTATAAATGCTGCGCATGCACAGTGGTGCAGAATTCCCCCAGGAGTAAAGGATGTTCCTCTTCCCAGATAACATATACTTGGCAGCATAGGTGCTGGAACAATTTTTATAGTGGAGATGCTGAAAGCCATTGAACCAAACTGTAAACCCTGTATCTGATGGAACTTCATAACTTCAAAACAGGGGGTGCAAGAGCATCCCCGGCACCCCTAGTTTGTGCACCTATGCTCGGCAGAGTCCTTTCAATATCAGTTGTTGGGTACATCTACACAGCAAGCAGCACTGAGTCCCAGAGCCCAGGCTGAGAGACTCAGGCTTGCGTAAAAATAGCTGTGTAGGTGCTTGGGCTGGAGTTCAGGCTCTGAAGCTTAGGCAGAGGGTTGGGGCTTGGTTCCAGCCCTCCACAAATGAAAACACAGCTTTTTTTAGCACTGTAGCATGAGCCCCACAAGCCTGAGTCTGTCGATCTGGGCTCAGAGACTGACTGCTGTGGGCTGTACAGACGTACCTATAAAGGCTAACCTGTATAAGGTAGATGAGCTTGTGTGAAAGAATGCCTGTTTACCCCATGCTGGTAAGAGGGTAGTACTGCGCCTAGACCCTGAATGTACAGGAGAGTGCTATACAACTTCATAATGCAGAGAAAGAATTAGAGTTTGCTGAAGTAAAGCTAACAAATTCCTCTGGAACTTTGTAGAAAAATATGTAGGGCGCATCTTTATCAGCAAAGCAGCCTATTAAATAAACAGCTCCCCCAATATCAAGTAATAGTTAATACAACAAAATATAGGCCAGTGTTTTCTCTCCTTACCAGCAGAAATTTCCCCATTTATAACACTGCAAAAATCCACACACTTACAAAATCATGCAGAGTTTTATTTTACCTTTGCCTGCACCTACAGCAGGAGGGAGAATACCAGCTTTAATGGGGGAAAATAAAAATAGGACACTATATAATTAGATACAACACCAGAGGGAACATATATATATAAATATAAATTGTCATAAAAGCATGCTCTAAGTGAAATATATTAGATCAAGGGAGTAAGAAATTAAATACATACTTATGTTGAACATTGATTGATTATTCTAAAGTTAATATACATGCATTTATTAATCTCTACTGTTCATGCTTGTTAACATTCACTTTTTTAAAAAAGTTACATTTTATGATATAACAAGAATACACCTATTAGATCTACTGGGTTTCATACCAACCAGTTCCAACAAACAATAAGCTTACCAAGTATGAAACAAGTAAATCTAAAGCTCGCAATAAAACAGAATTTAATATTAGAGGTGTGCAAAATTATCAAAGGCCGCATCACAAAATTTCCACAGTGATTTTAATTATTTAAATTGAATTTCCATAATATTTTAAAGGATAGCACTCCCAACAGAAGAATTTTGTCCCAGATCCTAAATCTAAATGCCTAAAACAACGTAAGCTTGTAAAGCAATACTCTTAGTCCTAAATTAACATGTGGCTGTCCCAGACTTTTCAACTGATGACCATATCCTGGACTGGTCTTGGTCCTAGCTGTGGTACTACATTTACAGTACACCCATGTTCCTACTAGGCCCATGAGAAAACATTTAGACTATGTATAAGTTATTGTGATTTAGAGATTTGTATCGTTTTAGACTTTATAGATTTTCTACTACCCAAACCGTAGCAGGCAGCATTTCATGACTTTATCACTGGATGAAGGATAATAACCAGAACATTGTACCTGTGACCAGAAGCAGTCATGGAAGCAGAATAATATAGATATAGTATAGATGACTGGGAAAGGCACTTAAGAGTATGTAAAGTTGGATAAAACTTTGAAAGGCACGGCCTAGCCCTGAAAAGCAAGTAGCTTAGGTCTTGTAAAGAAAGTGATATACGGAGGTGGCTTTTTACACCAATTTTTTTAAGCATCAGTTGTGGTAGAAAATTTTTGCACATCTTTTCTTTAAAATCTGTTCTAAATAGTTTATATTAGTGCACACTAAACTAGGTATTCGCTAGATAATTTTTAATAAAGAGTGCTTCAACAAGGAAAAAGTACTAACATTTTTAATAAAACAGGTAGGATTCTTTAAACTTAAATGGACTTTCTTTATACATACCCATCTTACCTTCATCCATAATTGTTACTGCTTCCTCAGTTATTTGACTTCCAGCTCCAACTGATGTTTGTGCATAAAAGTAAAACTTGTATCGTGTGCTGTAATTTAAATTACTTAATATCAAGCTGGTCTCGTTTGCAGGAATTCTGATCTCTACCAAGGGGCCTAATTCATGAGTGCTGTTAACTGTCATTGTGAGAAAAGCATAAAGAGTTAGATGGTTTATCTTTGAATATCTAATTAGGAACACAATCTATATTACAGTTGTGTTAATTAAAACATTTTATACCAGGTACTGCCTTTCTTTTCAAATTTCTCTACAGTGCTGTTCATTTTCTGATTCCAGAAATGATAAATACTGTAACTTCTGCTATCTGACTTGATAAATCAGCTACATGCTGGATAGAGGCTAGGCTTGTGTGGCTGTGTAGGGGGCATAAGGTGCAGTTTACTCACTCCTGAGAATGTCAGGGAGACAGGGAGATATTTTTACCAGTAAAAAGACTAAGGGCAACATTTCCAAAAGCACCTAAGTGACTTAGGAGCCTAAGCCCCATTTTGAAAAATGACTTTTTGACAGATTTTCAAAGGTATTTAAGGGCCTAAGGATGAAGATAGTTCTCTAGTGGGATTTTCAAAAGTGTCTACATAGGTTAGGTGCCTAAATGCCTTTGAATAATCTGACGTTCAGGCACTTAGGAGTGTAAGTCACTTTGAAAGTCACTTATGAAACTGGGACACCTGTGTCATTTTTGAAAATGGGACTTATGTACTTTTGAAAACTTTATCCTAAAAAACTGCTAAAACCTAATGAATATGCTAAACTACCTACCTAAGAATAAAACACACTAAATGTTGGGACAAAAATAGTCAAATGATTGCTAACTGGTGCCAAGCTATTGCAGCAGTTGAACAGAAATTGAGGCAGCTGGGAGTTTTTTATGTGGGAGGCACTTATGGCTCCAAATGGTTCTAGGTGCATAGCCGGAGACAAGTGCATCCCAAGGGCAGGGCTGAGTGAGAAGCCATCTTGGAGATGAATTAAAATTAAGATACTTTCTGATATCAGTAGATGATTACGTGATTAAAGGTCCTCATTACTGTCATTACTGTACAGTACTGTACTGTCATACAACACACATTTGTAATCACACACACACACACACTCCACAGTCAAATGAACCCCATATGCAGTGAATAAAACATTCCAAATAGGACAAGCATCATGTTGCCACTAGGTTTTTTTTTATATTCACAGTGTTGACTTGAACATTCATAAACTGTAAATATATGCACATATGTGCATATTATATATGGTCCAACAGGTTTTTTATTTTTTGGCAAAATGATTCATGCTTCCTTTCAAAATATAATAAAAAGGTATGTATGTGCAATTATCAACTAAACAATAAAAAAACCACTCAGATGAACCTGCAGCTAGAGCCCGTCAATACAGACATCTTTTCATATTACACCAGCTCTGCAGGATCAGGCATAGGCAGTTGTTCTAGGAGATACCAGCAAAGAAAACTCCAGCTCTACATGAAGGAGTGTTTGTGATGCAGCAGGTGGAAGTCTTCCCTTCACATTGATAATGAATTAAATACACCTTCGGCCACCTGGAGTACTCAGCCAGTAGGAAGGATGGGATGCACAAGGTGTTTGAGATGGCCACGTGGGCTGCCCTGCAGACCAAGCGCGGGCACAAAAAGAACTTATGCCAGTTGCTGTAACCCCCACCACCTCCCGCCAGGCCCTCCTTCTGATCACCATGCTTGGGAGGTAGAGGGGTCAGGGCCCCTCCATCATAGTCTCACAGCTCCAACGGTAGAACTGACCATTTTCTCTGGCTGCCAGCGCCTCTTGCAGCCATGTGGGGTGATCCGTGGCACAATCCCAGCCATGGGGGCCCCCAGTCTCCCTCCACTGACAGTTCACGAGGGGGGCAGGGCACCACTGCCTCCCAGCAGCACTGCCTCAGCCAGGAGCGGCGCCAGGGTTTTTGCCGCCCTAGGCGGCAGCGCTCCTCCTCTGAGCATTTGGCGGTGGGGGTCCTTCCGCTCTGCGTCTTCAGGGCACTTCGGTGGCGGGTCCCAGAGTGAGTGAAGGACCTGCCGCCGAATTTCCACCGAAGACCCGGAGCAGAAGGACCCCCCGCCACCGAATTTCCGCCGAGGGCAGCAAAATGCTGCCCCCCAAATCCTGCTGCCCTAGGCAACTGCCTAGGGTCGCCCAGTGGAAGCGCCAGCCCTGGTCTTAGCCCCTTCCAGTCTCCCCTTAATCAGAGCCTGAAATCACTTGGCTTGCCCAGAACAGCCTGCCCTGCACCAGAAGTCCTGGCCAGTCACAACCTGCAGGCCCTCACTGAGGAGCTCGTTGCTCCTGCCACCAGTTTGAATAGGTCAGCCTTTCCCACCCCTGGCTCCTAACCATGCCCCCTGTTTGCTCAGGGGAGCGCTGGATCATCATCAAGGTGCCCCTCTCCTGGGGTCTGCCTCCTGCCCCAGGGCAGGGTGGGGTCATGGGTGCTGCCCCCTGCTGTATAGGTTTCTCCCTCCATTCTCCTATTTATCTCTTGCCAAGCAGAGGTGGCCACTCATAGAACTATATTTTTATGCAAAGGCACCGCGGGCTGCTTTGCCTGAGGAGGGCACCCAGCTCCCGCTCTTCCCTCTCAGGGCCAAGGCTCCCTTGCCTCTCCGCAGTAGCCAGTGCCACAGTCAGATCATTGCAGGCATGCTCTCCCGGCACTCTGCCTCAAGTCACAGATGCCGGCCATGCTGTCCCATCTGGTTTGTACGCACATGGTAAAAGTGGTCATTACTTTTCAACTGTACTTGAAAGACAAACAAGATGACTCTTAGGGACTCAGTCTTTCAGAAAATAGATGAAACAATTCCAGACCATTTGTAGTCATGATAAATCTGACAATTTTTGCAAAATTATATTCTGCCTACCTACATTCCCCACACATGTCAACTGGGGAGAGTACTTTCTATCCCAGAAGTGTTGTGTAATGATACTGTGTTCTGTTGAACCATTGTTGTTACATTTTATCACAGAGCTCTCTGATCTCCAGTGGTGGATGAAGTGATTACTATATATTCGATGTAAAATCAGTTAGTAAGTTTTATAAAAGGATCCAAGTGTATGATATATGCTACATGTCAGATATTTATCATGATCATAGCAGAGAGCTCAACTGTATTTATTACAGTAACAATACTGTATTTCTGCTATCATTTCTAAGAATTACATTGCTTCCAGGAGCCCAAGTCAGGGTCAAGGACATATTGTACATATAAAGAAATGGTTCCTGCCACAAAGAACTTAACATCTAATTTAAGATAGAAACATTTGAAGTAGATGAGACAAATAAATGGAAGGAATGCAGGAGGAAGGACAATTAGTTGGACTTGATTCATTCAAAAGTTTTTGGAGTTTTGAGGGGTTTAGTTCTAAGATGTAAATAAAACCAAAATCTTGATAACACCAGCTACCTGCCTAACAATTATCAGTTGGCTATTTACTGTAGACATCATGGTAGAAGTGGGGATCTGAAGGAGGACAGGTTAGTGGCTTTCCAATCTAGATTGAGAGGATATTCCATGACTTGTTTATTGTTTAGCTGACAGTTACACATCATCTTTTACTTGCATTTTGGGATGAAGCATGGATCAATTAATTGTAGAGAAGTACAAATCAATAAAAAGCTCACAGTTGTAGCCCAAAGGATGAACTCTTCCAATTGCGACCATTGTCAATGTAGATCAACCTTTACCATATTTTAACAAATATAAGATTCGGTATGATTTATTTTTAATTTATAGAAGGTATACCACATAGTTGTTGTAAATTGTGAAAAAAACTACTGAATTAAGGATATAAATTAGTATTCAGCAGGGAGGTGGTCTGAGACAGGTTTTTGATTTTACCATCATTTACTTACTTGGTTGAAACTTTAGTGTATACGCTATCAAAACACCATTTGGGTGAGTAGGTGGACCCCATTCCAAAGTGAGAGAGTCCAGTGTTGGATTAGTAATCTTCAAAAAGGAAGGTGCGCTAGGAACTTGTAAGAAGAATATATGGTAAATGCTAAGTATATGGCACTAGAATGTCTTATAAAATACTATGGCATAACTTCTGTATCACCCTTACATTTGCTTTCACTTTTGTACATACAAACATAATGTTTAATATCGTGCCTAATATAAACCCTCAATTTTATTTCTTTCAGCTACCCAAGAAAGTTTAAAATTTAAGAACAATCTTACAACATGCTATTTTTGAACTTACTAAGCTTAGTTTTATACCTTAATTTCCTCATTTCATACCTCCTTCAGGAGTCTTAAATAATTTGTCAGGGCTTGCTGGTCCTTCCCCTTTACCATTAACAACTCTAACATTCAGCTTGTAAGAACTATAAGGCTCCAGTCCTGGCAACATTCCATGTGTCTTGTTTCCACTGAATGTCAGAATCTTTTTCTCCACATGCCGCCGCCTTCTTTTAGATAAACTCTGTACTTTCCAGTAGTAAATCTACGCATTAAAAAAAAAATCTGTAGTGAGTATTTTGGTGTTCCAGTTTTGCAAACTGGTAGCTATGGTTCTTTTCATGAATACCTAACTACATTTTAAAAGGTGGTTACTTAGGACTAGAGAGTGGCTTTTCAGCAAACTCCATGTAAGGGGCAGTGCACAGTTGCACTGTCCCAGAAGCAGACCAAGGATCAGACTGTGACTTTCAGAATCTTGCAGACATGTTTGTGTGTGAAGGACACAAGGGATTGTTCTAGTCTGGAGTGATAGGCAAATCATCAAAGGAGACCTACAATCCAGTCCTGCAACAAAATCCACACAGGTGCAGGAGTCTGCCTGCCTTCATCTCACTGCAGGATCTGGGTCTCAGTCTGAGACAGGCTGAGGATAACCAATGAAGCTTCTTTTGCAGTTCATTTTACATAAAAAAAATTTTTTAAAAGAACTTTCCCCCTGAGCTGTTGTAGAGGCTGTTCTTTCTTCACATCAATTCATGTTCTCTTGCTTCTGAATGCTTAACCCTCTTTAATAAGGGATAGATACATGAAAGTGAATGAACAGACACTTGGGATGAATTTTAAGCAGACTGCCATTTTATTTAACAGTGATGAGGGGCATTATGTGCCCTGCCTCCCGTGCACTCATACCAAGCATTTAACATTGTGGTGTTCAGAACTCCCACCACAGAACTAATAACTAGGCTCATCCCTAGGACTCAGCTCATTTTTGAATCCTCTCCACCTCCCCAACATGGAGGGGTAAGAGGCTCCCAAGGAAGGACTTCAGGTCTCCCCTTTTTCCAATCGGCGAAAGGTCCACCACCACAATCCCAGGTCTCATTTACCCCTGGGATCTGGTCCCTTTTATCCTTATCCAAATTGGAAACCAGCCATAAGGCGAGCTAAGCAGTCTTGCTTTCCTAATGTTAAGCCTTTTAAAGTCTTAATGCTATAGCCTCCATGATGTTGCAAGGAAGGCAAAGAAACCCACCAGACCAGACCCTCTTACCAATTTGGTCCAATGGGAAAAAATTCCTTCCTGATCACAAAATGGGCAATTAGTTAGACTGCAGCTTCCTAAATAACAGCACCAATATTGTACTAAGTATAACAATTAACCAGTGAGTCCATTCCCCCATGTCCAGCCAATGGAAAGGCAGCAGAAGTGGCAGAAGGTAGCCCCCAGTTGTAATAAATCACCCGACAAATATACCCTTATTGTGAACCAACTGTGGGAACACTGACAAAAGTTTACAAATGGTTCCAATCACATATGACAATAAATGTTGATGGGAACGGGTGCAAAAAGGAGAAAGAAAGACTGAATTAGCCTTAACAAAAAGGCTTGTTGATATTACTCAAGGCTTTGTTAAGATCATGTCCGATAAACAAGACACGTGTGGGACCAGAAATCAATGAAAAATGGCTACTTACTGGGTCTGTAACTGTGGTTCTTTGAGATGTGATGGAGACGTGTATTCCAAATAGGTGTGCGCACCCCATGTGCCAGAACTGGAGACTTTTGCCTACCAGTAACCGTAAAGGGGCGGTGCTCACGCCTTGTGTCCGCAGTCCCTCCCCTATATAAGGCAGCACTGCCTCAATCGCTCTCAGTTCCTTCACACTGAACATCCAGGGAAGACTCTGAAGCACAGGGGACGGAGGGTGGGTTGTGGAATATACATCTGCATCCCATCTCAAAGAACCCAATTACAGTAAGTAACCAATTATTATTCTTCGAGTAGATGTAGACGTGTATTTCAACTAGGTGACCAGTGAGCAGTACCCCCACCTGGAGGTGGGGCTCTGAGTCTATCTGAGTAAGGATCACAGGACCGCTCTTCTGACATTAGTGTCTGCTCTGGAAGAAGCAGTGATCGCGTAATGATCCGTAAGTGTATGTATGGACGCCCCTGAGGCCACCCGACAAATGTCCAATATGGAAAGGTCATTGAGTAATGCTACTGACATTGCCTGTGCTCTCGTCGAACATGCCCATATCTGTTGAGGAGGCGTAGCTGATGCTATCTGATATGCAGTCTTGATACAAGACATTACCCATCTAGAGATGGTCTGCAAAGAGATTGCTTGTCCCTTCATGCAGTCCACATAGGATACAAAACAGGCCAGCCAAAGCACAAAATTGTTCGGTCCTGGTCAGATAAAAGGCTAGACAGCATCTAACATCTAACATATGGAGGCATTGCTCCTCAGGGGAGGAATGCAGCTTGGGGAAAAATACAGGCAAATATACCACCTGGTTCAATTGAAACTGAGACACCACCTGGCACACAAACTTGGGATGTGGACAGAGCATAACCTTATCCTTGGAGAATTGCATGTAAGGAGACCCTACCATTAGGGCTAGCAACTCACCCACCCTCCTGGCAGAGGTAATGGCCATCAAGAATGCTGTTTTCTGAGACAGGAAAGGCAGTGGCTACGAAGCAAGAGGCTTGAATGGAGGCCCCAGTAGAGCTGCTAAAACTGTGTTCAGGTCCCACAACTGGCTTTAGTACTGGATGATGCAGGTGGAGAAGTCCTTTCAGAAATCTCATCACCATGGCACTGGAGAAAATCAATTTTCCTTGGAGAGATGGATGAAATGCCAATATTGCTGCCAAGTGCACTCTTAGAGAACTGAGTGCTAAACCAGATTCCTGAAGGTGTAGCAGGTACTCCAATACGTCCTGGATGGAAGTCTCTGCTGGATGGCTCCACGGGCCAAAGACCATATGGAAAACCTCTTCCACTTCGCCAAGTAGACTATTCTAGTGGAAGGCTTCCTACTGTTAAGTAGGGCCTGTTAGACAACCTCCGAGCAATATTTTTCCTCCTTGTTCAGTCATGCAGCAGCCACACCATAAGGTGCAAGAGGCTGATCGCTGGATGCAAGGTGCAGCTGCAGTCCTGTGTGAGGAGGTTGGGAAAGAAAGGAAGTGGCATGGGATGCTGAACTGACAGAGTGAGGAGGTCCCAAAATCAGCACTGTCTTAGCCATGATGGGGTGATCAGGATGAGCCTGCCTCGATCCACCTTGAGCTTGGCAATGACCTGGGGAATGAGTACAGCAGCCTTGACTGCCAGCTGTAGTGCAAAGCATCGGAGAGGGAGCACAGGCTGAGCCCCTTCAAGAGCAGAATAGGTGACACTTCCTGTTTTCCCGCACTGCAAAGAGGTTGATCGTGGGGATGCCCCACATTGTGAAAACCATCCAAAGGGCCTCCGCCTTCAGGGACCATTTGTAGCTCGGGGAGAAAAACCTGCTGAGATGATATGCAAAGTGGTTCTGGATCCCTGGTAAGTAGACATCTATTGGGGTGTGTAGTGAGTCGGTGTGGCTCCCCTCCTGCCCAGAAGAGGGAGCACCCTTGCAGGCACCGGAGTGGGTGGAGCCACCGCCGCCTGTTCCCGCCCCCCGGAAGTCAAGGGGCGGAACAGGAAGTATAAAGGCCGGCCGCCGGAGCTCAGTCAGCGGCCAGCCACCACAGGGAGTAGACGTGCGGCCGGGAGCTCCCGGCCGGGAGACCTCCGAGGCCCGAGGACAGTACCCTGACTGGCCGGAGCTGCCCCGGACCCGCTATGAGGAGGAGCCGCCGGAGCCCGTCCGCTCCTGTCGTTGGGAGGAACCCTTGGAACCCCCCCACACTAACCCTGAAGGCGAGACCGCACCAGAGCCCCTCCGCCCCTGCCGTTACCCGGAGGAGCCGCCCGAGTGCAATTGGCCAGATTTCCCCACGGAGCTGCTGGACCTGCCACCAAGCCCTGGCCGAGAGGAGCCCATGATGGTGGACTGGCCCGGGCCCGGTGCCACGAGCGAGGTAGGCCCTGAGGGGGAACCTGGAAGTAGCCCAGGGGTAGCCGACCCCGGTCAGGCTGCAGACGAATGTGAGCCAATGTCAGTGTGTTTCGGTGAGGATACCCCATTGACCAGCAGCTGTAGTAACCGCTGCTAGGGCCCCGGGCCTGAACGCAGTGGAGTGAGTGGTCCTGCGTTCCCCCCTGCCACCCCCGCTCACGGATGGCAGTCTTCCCCCTCACCTAACGCTCGGCTGTAGGAGCCTAGGCGTACATTAACTGTTTGCTCGCTCAGCCCCTGCACCCAAGGGCCTGAGCTATAACTGTGTGTGGCCCGCCCTGATCCAGGGCCTGGGCTCCCTAACTGTTGTCTGCTCAGCCCCTGCACCGGAGGGCCTGAGCCCCGAACTAACTGTTGTCGGCTCAGCCCCTGCACCAGAGGGCCTGAGTCCAGACTAACTGTGGTCGGATCAGCCCCTGCACCAGAGGGCCTG